TCCTCCACTGCACTCCCGGGCCACAGCAGAGAGCTGGCCTGGAAGAGGAGCAACCGGGACAGAATCCGGCACCCCGACCGGGACTAGAACCTGGGATGCCGGTACTGCAGGCCACGAATTAGCCTAGTAAGGCGACACCGGCCAAGAAAATTTTTAGAAGTATCTGTTACCCAACCTTATCTGACCTAAATGTCTAAAAGGAGCCCTACAATGTCCTCTCAGCATGTGTACTGCAGTATACTTCAGACTTCTTGACTGATCACATTTAGTCTTTAGTAACCTGGCAGGCAGTACTATTCATCACCAAGTATGCATCAGGGTGGGTGTTGGGCCTAGCAGTTAGGATGCCAGGAGATGCCCATGTCCTGCACTGGAGCGCCTGGGTTTGAATCTTGCCTCTGTTCCCGGTTCCAGCTTCCCGCCATCGTGTACTGTGGGAGGCAGTGCTAATGACTCCAGTAGTTGGGTCCCCGGCTCCCAGGTTCAGCCTGCCCCAACCTCAGTTCTTGCAGGTATTTGGGGAGTAAATCAGCTGAAGGGAGATCTCTGTGGCTCTGCTTCATATACTCAGTAAGAATTACAATAGGTGCTTACTGATCATAAGCCAATCAGTCGTATAGTTTCCTTTTCTCAATCCTTGGCATTTTTAATCTACCATTTTTTAAGAGGATTAACAGCTGATGTTCAAATACTACCTGCATTCAAGGTTAGGGGGAAAAATGAGGCAGGGGGCTGTGATAATCCCCTGCCTTCTTAAGGCTACACAAACTTGCAGCTGTTGGCTACCTGGAACCTCTACATTGGCTGTGTGAGAAAAGTGTTAAATTCCTGTCTGGACAACGTGAAGACCTAAGGGCCGCTAGTCTGAGTTTCAAAGTCACTGAAGCACCGCTCGGCATTATTAGGTTTCTGAAGACATACAAAGGATGCCAACCATGTGTTAGTACACTGGGTCAGTCTCAAGTCCATGGTCTTCGAGGAGATCTGGCCTTTGTGTCAGTCAGAAATCTCATAATGGCGTAACACCCCCACCCCAGGACTGGAGGTAAGCAAAAGGACAGGAAAAGATCGGCCTTCACTTGACCATCCTGACAGTACCTTGTGGAAGTGACCATTCAGTCAAGGCTTCCAGTAGGTGGTGCCCTGACAACTTGACCAACCAGACAACCACCCCCCCCCCCCTGTTTTTAGAGGGTGCCAGACAAATGCTTTTCCGAAGCGTGAATGGACTTTCAAACATTCATGGAAAAAAAATGGAATTAAAAATGATACACTGGGGCTGGTGCCGTGGCGCAGTGGGTTAAACCTCTGCTTGCAGCGCCAGCGCTAGCATCCCATATGGGCGCCGGTTCGAGTCCCAGCTGCTCCTCTTCCACTCCAGCTCTCTGCTATGGCCTGGGAAAGCAGTAGAAGATGGCCCAAGTCCTTGGGCCCCTCACCTGCGTGGGAGACCTGGAAGAAGCTCCTGGCGACTGGCTTTGGATCAGCGCAGCTCTGGCTGCTGTGGCCATTTGGGGAGTGAATTGGCAGACGGAAGACGTTTCTCTGTCTCCTCGCTGTCTGTAACTCTACCTCTCAAATATATAAGTAAAATCTTTTTAAAAAAATGATATATTTTAGCACACATAATCTTGCAATCATGCATAGCCTTCCCGTAATACACATTTTCTATCAGCTTTTTGGAGGACCCCTTGCACATATCTGCAATGAGTAGGCTGTCACTGTTGGTAAATTCTAGACGTGGCTCTTGGGGACTGCTTTTCTTGAAATGCTCTGGGTTACAGGAGGCCGTTCCTGCGTACACCTCTCGGGAACGTGGGGCCAGGAGGAAGCCCACTGCTTCCAACCCCTTGCTGTCTCTCCTCGCCATGGCGTTTCCACCTTCGCTCAGAGCCTTCAGCACTGCCACCATCCCAGGCCTCCAAGTCACATCCCCCTGCTGCAGCCAGTTTGGCTTCAGGCTGAGCAGCTGGCTTAGTCTTACTGTGAACCCTAACTACTCTGAAAAGGACAACACACACAGCACTGCCCTAGCTTTACATCTATTCATCTGACCTCTGGACTTCTTCTCAAGGCTACTTCGTCCATTGCCATGTGCTCTCTCGCCCAGTTGTCACAAGAACCCAGGGAACGGCTCCACTTCTGAAACCTGGGCTTCCACTGAGTCTCTTCTTACTCCTCCATTCCTTGTCCTAGTCCTACAACTGCTACGGCCACCTCATTACCTCCACCCTGCTAGATCATCCCTTACATGTAAGGTAAGCCCTGCTTTGCAATTAGCCAGATGGACTTGACTCTTGTGACCCTGAACGAGACATTTGTCTCATCATAGATCAGTTGTCTGCGATGACTGGACCTAAGAAGGCAATTCCAATCAAACTACTGTCCAGAGAGGGCCTGCGCACAATTCTACACTGGAGCTTCCAGTTCTCAAATTCCCAATCCATACCACCATCAGGCACTGAGCAACATCTTCCCTCAGACTCTGTAAATCGTCAACAGTCTCCTTGCCCAAGTTCTACCTTTCCACTCAATCCACTTATCCTGGATTAAAAATGCAAAACGAACCATACTGAGCAGGTTGATGGGTTCAGCCAAGACTGTAAACACTCGGACAGCACTTACAGCTCAGCCTTCCCTCCCCTCTCACCTTTTAGTCTGCAGTGCTGGGTCTCCATCTGTCTTCACAAAACACAAGCGTTTTCTCTGTGGGATTCTGTCCTCGGCTGCCTTCTCTCTGAGCCATGGAGGATGAGCTTCGGGCCTGTGGAATCCAGGAGAAGCCATATACGAGCGTGCTGTGCCTGGGCCTCCGTCAGGGATGCTCTTTAACTCCGTCCACACAATCTAGGAGTCCATGACCAAATAGAATCCGATAACCCCAACTGCAGCCTTGACTTCCTAGCCTGGCTCTGCCACCTACTGGCTACGTGACCATAAACAAAACTCCTTACAAGTTCCTCATCAGTACCCTCAGAGTCAAAATACTTCTCCGGTAAGGGCTGAGTGCGCGAATATCCTTCAAAATACTTTGGCACGGTATCTGGCTTATCGAGTACTTAACCAGGCGAGTCACTTCCACATACCAAGCCAAATCTAATAAGCACCTAGGTTTTCCAGGGCAACTCAACTCCCCCACTCACCAACCGAAGTGAAAGACAATTCACGTGCCCACTCTGCACCTCGAATCTCCCTCTATGGCCACCTCGGCGTTCATTTCCCCCCGGCACGTCTCCCCCTGCGCTGCCCCTGTGTTACTTTGTCACACACTTCACTTCCAGCTCTTCAGGCTTTTTGGCCAAGCTAAGAATCTATACACTATCAGACTCACTTTTCCCCTTCATCTCCAACACAGCTTTACGTCTACTGGTTTTACTTTTAAATGACCTCTTTGCCTCTGTAAGCTTAGCCTCACTAACTCTTACTTGGACGACTGCAACCATTTTCTAACTCATTTTGGTTCCACTGGTCTCACCTGTGCATTGTCATCATCCAGTTACTGGTGTCGCACGTGATGGAGTTGACAGCTGTCAGTGCTGGATTCTCTCCTCTCTGAAAATGTCGTTTCTGCTTCCCAAGAGACTCCGGCAGAGCTGGCTTTGGACCAAGGGCTTTGGCTGTGAGCAAGAGGATAGCCAGTGCCAAGAATGACGGCCTTCCAGGATGGAAGGCTAGCTTCGTGAACCGCCATCAGCAGCGGGCAAGAAGAAACTGAAAAGGGACAGGGCCTTGGGCTTGTCTGAGGGCACAGCTTCGTGATGAGGCCACAGAGTGAAAATTCAAGCAAAAGGGAAAGTGTTTTCAGTGCACCTGCAATTTTCCCCGTCTCCAGGAAAAGATGGCAACAGCTTCTACTCTTGGCAACTCTCACAGGGCTGGGTGGGACTGGACCATGTTCTCCTGAGGACAGAGGCGCTGTGAAATTCAGGGTCCTTGATACTGTGACACCAACTGCTTTCTCCGAGGTGATCTGCTCCACGTGGTCTTCACAGCCCTGCTCGCCCCATGTGGCCCCTCTGCCTGGAACAGCAGTGGGGACCTTGGGCCCACAGGGCCACATAAGGCCTGCGAAATCATTTGGTCTGGCCCTGCCCAACAAGGCAAGTGCAGACGGCCTCAACATTCAGTAACTCTGCAGAAGGCTATGGTCCTGATTGATGCTGTAAACATACAGATGGCCCTTAGCGGGGAAAAAAGGTCCCCAACCCCAACCATGGCCCTAGAATGACCTTACCCTGGCCTTTCTGCAGGGCACATCCCACCTGCCAAGATCAACCCACTTCCTTGAGCTGGGCTATGCAGTCAGGTTACCGTCAGAGAACGCAAGTCAACGGGGCTAACAGACTGAGCAGTGAGCCCTTCCCTGGGGAGGGGCTGGAGCCACCCATGGTGAAAGGATTTAGTCACGGGAGTCACTGGTTAAAGTCCACGGTGGGGTTAAAGCCACCTGACATTCACATTCCGATCAATGCGCTAGGCACTAGTTGCTTTTCTTGAAAAGCAAACTAATGTATATTAACTTCTTAGAATGACTTATCAGCAACTGGCCAAAGTGGCCACCCTTCTCCTACAGGTAAGAGGTTTTGTGTGTGCTTGTCCTACCAGTGAGGGACACAGGTGCAATGCAGGGGTGGGAAGACCAGCTCTGGGATGAAAATGCTCACCTCTACCTAAGCTGACCACAAGGCACCCACCTTACAGCTAAGCAAGCACACGCGGAACGTGCCGTTTCTCGAGCGTCACCCGCCCAGAGCTTCCTCGGCAGACCTGCAGAGCCAGAACACGGCAGTGCTCACGGTTGACACAGCCACCGATTCATCCGGGCAGGGCGAGGCTCTGTGCCCAGGAATGGCCATCTCCTAAGGCCCGGAAAGCACTCCGCTTGCATCTGTGGGAGGCCGAAGCGAAGGTGCTCCCCCAGGGGGCCTGATGCCGGGAGGGAAGAGTGGCCAGACCCGACTGGGAGGGTTCGGTATCGCGAGGCAGAAACGTGTCACGTATTTCATGCAGCCAACCTTATTTATTGACAAGTCCTAATTTTATTGCCCGTTTAGTAACATGTTTGTTCCACAAACTAATTTCTCATAAAGCAAAGCACAACTTTTTCTTATAAATAGTATAAATTATTTTATTTACAGAAACTTGTTACAAAACAAATAGACTATATATTTCTTCTCTTTTAAATATCCAAAGTAATTTTCTATCCCTTGACATTTGTTCTTGTTCTCTACAGCAGCCAACATGAGTCCAGCTGAGATGCTCTTGATTTACGTGTACAAATCATCAAACTAGTCACACATTTCAACACAGGAGATTGCTTTTATACCCAAGCTCAAAGAAACCTAGCAGAACGCTTTCCAGGCCCTACATTCACACTGACAGTATGTAGTGCTCATTTAAATGATCTGAAAATGTAAAATGTTTTGCACAAACTGTAAAAATGATTCTTTTCTGCTAAACAACAAACAGAACTTTTAACGACCATTTTCCAAAGCCCACCGTGTTCCCCACCCAGGACGCAATGAGAGACATTAAGAAATTCCTTGGCAACAGAACTCTCGCAGGACGACAGCTGCCTTATAAGTTACATTTTTCAGATTATACATTTTTTTTTTCAATGTTCTCAGAGGTACTTCTTTGTATTAGATTTTTGGAATACAAAATAATTTAAATATTTTATTTTAAACTTTGTATTTCATGCGTGAGTAACAAAGCAGACACATCATGTAAGTTGCTGGCAGACAGAGAGATGTGTAACCCTTGGTGCCACTGGGCAATCCATCAACAGCTGAATTACTGTGACCCAAAAGGCCTTGGACTTTAAAACACCTTATAAAATCACCAGCACTGGTGGTTTTCAACTCCTCCCTTAAAATTTTAGAAACAATATTTAGGTGGAAAAGCAAACTCCAAAAGTTCAACTGAACATTCAAGTCTTTTTCAAAGAGAATCTGTCTAAGCTTAAAACTAGGTTCAGGCACTTTCAGTTTTTTTCCATTAGTTTAAAACCACATCGCATACTCACACACGTGTGCTCAGCGCACATGCACACACACACAACACCCACGCACGCACACACGCACACATAAAACACTAACAAAAGGAAAAGCAGTGTGTCACTTAGTTACATGGAGTCTATCGGGCAATCAGGCAACTAGGGAGACGCAAATGCCCACTTCATCCGGATGAATCCACTCCCGAGACGTGAAAAGGGACAAAGACTTTCACAGAACAGAGGCATCCCTTCAACTGTAAAGGAGGCAGGTTCTAGAACTATTGGCTTGGCAGTGAACCACTTCAAATTATAAAAAGGTATTTACTTTTATTAATTAATAAATAAATACTAGATGATCTCAATTGTACCAAAACAGGATATCAGAAAAAAAGACCTGTGCAAAAATACATATTTAAATATGTACAATTCATTTTTAACAAAATATGTCTTCTGAAATAGGGATACTTCCATATTTATAATAGAACAAGAAATTCCAAAATAAAGATACAAAAGTAGGTTTTGTATAATTCTTTGTTCATCATTGCAGCACTTTTTTTTTTTTGTAGGTTAAGAAAACTGCAGAAGCTGTCATGAAATTCTATTGGAAAGAATATAAAAATTATCTTGGTTTTAAATTGATACCAAAGTCTGTCTAGAAACAACCCAACCACTGCAAATTTGGTTTTTGCAATTTAATTCAAAAAAATACTTGTACTCCCGTGTTTTAAATGGTCTTAATTGTTCATCATAATAAAAAGTTGTAGGAGAAAATAAAATATTTAAACAACAGTCTAAAATTTAATAGCACTGTTTAGAATAGGTCTGTTTGTGGCAGGCAGAATCCAAAATGGCTAATTTCCTAATCCCGATGCTCCGTTGTGTTACCGGGAGACATAATGAAATTCAATTAAAACCTCAGTCTTAGAAATTAAATGATCAACACTTGCTAATCTAAATATCTACATTATTCTGAATCAACTTGCTATCGTGGATCCTATTCACATCTTTCGGAACAACATGATCCGTCTGTAAAATCCATCACTAAAAGCAACTTTATTTATAACCATCAAGTCCCCTTGGCTCTGAAAATAAATTCTACCCATACCCCATTGCACTTGTCACCAAGGAATCGACTAGGTATGTTCCGATTCCTTCTTGACCTCCTCTCTCTCCTCTCCAACTGGGATGGGACAACCAGGCTGATTTTTCCTACCTAGACCTACCCGGCCCATCCATGCTGTCTCCTGACTAAGCTCTCCTATTTGTATCACTTTAAAAACATTTACTGATTGTTTGCATAATAACTGAACAAGATACTATTCTCCCCTTCCTTAAAAAAAAAGATCAGTTATTTTACATCAATTTATAGCTAAAGTATCTGCATAAAGTTTTTGTTTTCTTACAGAATAAGAATAATCCCATAGCAATTCACATTAGTAGGCTGGTAACCAAGTATTTTTTCATTCTACCTGTTGTTGACTTGAAATTCCCTGAAACTGAAGTTTGTAACCCAGGAATGAGAGGGGGGAAGAAGGATGCACTGCCTGGCTCTGTCGGGGCTGTGGCCAGGGCATCGAGCAGAGCCTTGGAAATTCTACCCTGTGTTCGGCAACTTGTGTGTTCTTCTGAGCGAAAGTGCTTGGTTCTCAGTTCAGGAGCTGCGGGGGTGGAACCGCACGTAAAAAGGCCCCAGCTCAGCCTCCAAAGTCAACCACACCTTCTCAAAAAATTCTACTTGAACGTATTAAGCTCTTTTTTTGGGGGGGGGGGGTGGGATACTAGAAAAAACATCCTGGAGGGTTCCAAACCTCTCTCAGGAAGATGGCTGGCATGAATCCCAAGAAAGCAGGGATGGATGTCAAGAAATACTAAACACGCGCCACATTAAGACCTCCGTGGAGGCTCACGTATACCTTCTCCAACCCCCTTCCCTCGGGGCCTGCTCCCACCCCAGCTGACGCACAGGTGACATTCAGCCCCGGGACAGTATCCAGAGAGGGACACGGGGACGTGGACAGTGCCTCGGAAACACTGAAGTCCGTCCTCATCATTTCATTTTAAAAGGCAAAAAACAAAAAACAAAAAGACTGCGAAGGACAACCAACCCAGTCTGCTAACACTACTTAACACCAACACATCCAGGGTAAGAAAACGCCACCTCTCTGAAACCTACACTGATTTTACCTCTCCCAACAATCTGCCCACCCCCACCCTGATTTGCCTTGCCATCATCAAAACTAGTTTGCATTTTCTTGCTTTTTTGTTTTTGTGTGTGTGTGTGTTTTTTTTAATCGCACAGAACTGCTTTTTGTACCATGAAAAGTAAGCCTCAAAGACGGTTTCTGGTCAACCATGGCTTCAAACTGGTTTCCAAGTCAGACACTGGGGCCAGTTTCCTCGGCCAGACTCCTCGAGAGAGGCTGGGCTGTTCTGTCACGGTGCCTGGCACTACGGTCCATATTCTGCTCCTCGAACATGGCTACAGACATCAAAAGCCAAGCTCCTTTCACTAGAAGGTTGCTCTCCTCTGGGAAGTCTCCAGTCCCCAGGGAAGGAGCCGAACTGTTGCAGTGACCTACAGAAGACAGTGTGGTGTTAAAAAAAAAAAAAAAATGACGACGACGAAGAAACCACTGGTGGGAGGGAAGAGGGAGAACAGTCTACAGTAACGCTCTTGCCAAAACATTCTTCTGCCCAGCCCATTCTACTCAAAGAGTGGCTCCACGGATAAGTTAAAAAACAAAACAAGAACAGAAACTCCTCACAGATTGGTAGCAAGCAGTCCAGACCACTGTAACACTGATAAGAGCAATTCGGTGGCTGAACTTGATCCAGTGTCCTTTAGGAGTACTCACTGCTACAGACACAGCTCCAGGGAAATCCTCTTTGAAACAACAGCCCGCAGGCTGCTACCCTTGAAGCCCACAGGAGGCGGGGCAGACAGACTCAAAGGCAACGCGGAGTCCAGAGTGCTGAGTGGAGGTGTAACTTGTCCTCAAAAGTGTCCGGGTTATTCCTCCCAGGGATACTGTCAGCCGTCAGGGACGTGCCTTTGGCTTTCAAGAAAGAAGGGGTGGGGAAACAAGGAAGAGGTAAGTAAGCGAGCGCACGCTGTACTCCCCTGCTTCCGGTCAAGTACGCTCGGAGAGCTACACACCCACCGCTCCCGGCTCCGCCACAGTGAGCTCCCAGCAGCGGCAGCTGCAGAACTTGGCCTCGGCTTTCAAAAGCCTTGCCTGCTTTGGACGCGGCTGTTCCATGTGAACAAAGTGGCCAGGGGAGATGCAGCCTTGGGTCTCTGGCTGAGAGGAGGCCCTCAGGTCTGTGTTCTCACCTTCCACGAAGGCAGTTCAGGGTGTTACCCGAGAACAGCACAAGGTCAGGCAGTTGAGTACACACAGGTGTGACAGCTCTCACCTGACGCGGTGCCTGGGGAGCGGGGACCCTGGCCAGCACAGGGACCTATTTAAAGTGTGCAGTGGCAGAAGCCATGAACAGACTCTTCCTGCCCAGACCCAACTCCTGGGCCCCCCAGCACGTCTCCTTGTTTAGCAGACCTCCAACCAGCTCCAAAAGGCTATCTATTCTCAAGTCAGCTCCACAGCAAACAAGCAGAGGTCCCGAATTCCCAAGAACAGCATTCTTAAAAGCACTCTCGGATCATGGGTCCCTCTGAAACCAATAAAGTTGTAGGACCCTCCTGCAGGTGGACAACTTGAAAACTCTGTTATCTCTTCTTAGGGTTCACTGAATCGCTGATCTCTCGTCCCGGGCCTCTCCTAGGAGCTGGGCAGCGTAAAGTCTTCTACTGAACTGGGGAAATCTTTCTCAAGCACAAACTTAAGCTGAAACTGATTCTAAGGAAAAGAACCCAAAGCAGTCTCCCAAGACAGTAAAAATCAGAGGCAGCAAACAGGCAGTTCATGCGCCCAACATGGCCAACATACAGGCTTTATACAGGGCCAGCACTGTGATGCAGCAGCTTAAAATCCTCCACCTACAGCACCAGCATCCCATATGGGCACCAGCTCTAGTCCTGGCTGCTCCTCTTCTGATCCAGCTCTCTGCTATGGCCTGGGAAAGCAGAAGATGGCCCAAGTGTTTGGGCCCCTGCAACAGCATGGAAGACCCGGAAAAAGCTCCTGGCTTCTGGCTTCAGATCGGTGCAGCTCTGGCCATTGTGGCCATTTGCGGAGTGAACTAGCTGACAGAGGACTTTTCTCTCTTGTCTCTCCCTCTCACTGTCTACAACTCTACCTCTCAAATAAATAAATAAAATTTTAAAAAAAGAATGCTTTATACATCTGTATCTATCAACATATCTACATATTATTAAATATGAGAGTACTTCAAAAAGTTTGTGGAAAGGTACAGGCAAAAGTTAAATTTATTTTGGTGTGCAAAGATCTGAAATCCATTGCAGTTTTTCATAATCTACATTTTAAAGTCTACATTTCTTTAAAAACGGCCAGATTCCAGAAGCAAGTCCCAATGTGCAGGTGTTCTTCACAATTGGTAGCCAGTGTCTGCACGCAGCTGCTCCACGTGGTGAGGTGCCCAGCGCCCCCCTTCCATGGGCACGGTCACTTGGTGCTGTGTCTCACAGGCTCTGGCCTTTGGGCTGTGAGCGGGCAGCGAGGGGCACACTCTGTCTACGTGCAGACAGCAGGCTCCCTAGCACAGACGTGAGGCGGACCCTGCCGCGGCCAGCCATGGCTCATCCGTGCTCTCAGAGCTTTCACAGTCATGGGTGCACCCATCACCCACTGCAGAGAGTAAACTCTGACTAAGAAATAAAGCACAATGTTCACCATTGCAGCGACGTGCTGCTCAAAACACCAACCACCACCCAAGTGGCTTTGAGTGGAGCAGCTCCCTGGACTCCTGGGTATTCCCCCCAGCCCTGGGGCCCACAGTACAGATTCACACCAACAGCAGAGGGAACCACCTTCACAGTGAGAAACTTCTCGTAGTTCTCAAACAGCCCCAAGCTGGCATTGGAGTCAAGTTTCACAGATAAGCAAGGGGGAGGGAAAAAAAACAACCATAAAGAAGAGCCTCACATTTTAAATCGGGGCTCTGGGGCGCTGCTGCTGGCATTCCTGTTCGTAAGCAGGGTGAGGAGATGTCCTGATGAATGAAACAACAGGGTGAGAGATGAGCTGAAGTCAGAGCCAAGCAAGCTGGAAACAGCTAAAGGCAAGAAGGTCAGGAGAAAACAGTAACGGTGGGAGAAGTGAACAGAAGACCCCGCACAGGAGATACACCAGCCGGCGCCCACCTAGGCACTGCTCCACTATGAGCCGCGTTCAACTTGCAGGGAGATTTTACTCTGCTTTGCCCAGGCTGAATCCCGTTTTCCTGTCTACCTTATGAGCAGGGAAGAGGAAACGTTAAATGAGACTTAACCAGCGCCACCTGTAGCTCTTCCACGGGAAAACCTATGCTAGCTCAGGACATCGCTGCTTTCTAGAGCTTTCTGCAGGGGAACACACTGGAAGCCCACTATCCAGGAACACACCGCCTGCTTCCCCCCTGAGCAGCTCAAGGACACACCTTGGGGGCTGCAGGAGGGCCTCCCTTGTGGTTCGGACTGGGCTCGGTCCTTCTGGCTGACTGCCTTAGACCCTCCCGCCCCGGGAGGGACATCGTCGAAGCCCTCAGAGACCCTAGCAGGGCTGAGCCCGGGCTACCTTCACGTGGTCAGGAGCACTTCCCTTTTTTTCAATAGACAGCATGACACTGCTTATCGGTTACAGGCAAACCAGCCAAGCAACTCACAGAGCTTTCTGACCTGGCAGAGAATCCCAAGGGAGAGGAAGCATGGCCTCCCACGGGCTCAGAGTCCGCTTCCTACCTGGTGCAGGAGGGAACTGTTCGTCAGTCCTTGCGCCCCTGGGATGGTGCTCGTGTGTTTCATGTGGACGTTGTTCACGGCTGGCAATTTGGCAACCTTTGTGGGCTTGCTGCTGTTGCTGACGCTGCTGGAGCCGGGGGAGCACTTTCTCTTCTTTCCTATGAGCTTGTCTAGAGGAGTGTGTGAGTGTGGAAAACTGCCGTGCGAGTTGACGGGCAGCTCGTTGGACTGGTGAATGAACGGACCAAGAGAAAGAGTGGAATCGCTGCTGTTCACCATCACACTCATCCTCTTGATGGATTCGGCGGGGCTCCCACTGGGGGGGCCCCTCCCTGACTGCTCGTGCCGGACGCTCACTGAGTTGGCTTTGTTTGTCACACAGTTGAGGCCAATGCTATGAGAAGACGTTACCGCCGAGGGGTAGGGAGGCCCAGGGTGAGCCACACAGTTTTTCCTAAACGACTCCATGGAATGAGAAGAAGAGGTGGAGGTGGAGGTGGAGGAGGAGGAGGTGGAGGAGGTGGAGGAGGTGGAGGTGGAGGAAGAAGGGTGAACTAACAGTGGGGAAATGTTTTTGCGTTTCTTTCCTGAGCCGCCACTGGTACTGCTACTGGTGTTGTGACAGTTAGTGCTATTACCAGAAGACTCCTTGGGCCTTAAAGACTTGCTGGATTTCAACTTCTGAGGTTTCCTGGACATAGGGGAGGAAGGGACCGAGGAGAGGCCGGAGGGCGTGGAAGGGGACGAGGAGGAAGACGACACCTGTCTCGACTGCAAGCTGCACACGGGATCCACGGCCCCCGAAGTGGCAGGTTGTGCATTCAGCGTGGTTCCATGGGCTGGTACCGATTTGCCACTAGGGGAGATGCAGCTGGAAGGAAGCAGACCCGGGGCTGCAGAGACGGTGGCTGCCGCGAGATAGCTGACCCCGCACTGGGATGTCGGCACAGAGTTTGTCCGGTGAGGAACACGCGTGGAGATGGGGGACGTGCTGCTGTTGGGCACTGGTGGGATTTTCCTGAAAAAAGCAGAAGGCACTGAGTGACATTCAACATAGCCACTCACAGAAACCACACGATGAGAAATACCTCACCGGCAGGATGGCGGCTGTGCCATACAAAGCCAAGACCGCCGTTTCTCTCCTTCCTGGGGCTCTGAGAGGAACGGCAGGGACGTGCCCCAAGCCCACTCCTGTCCCAGCTTTGCACCTCCACCTCTCTGACAGCAGGCACCGATCTCCTTTATATCCTGATAAAACACTGTGGCCAAAGACTGCGACACACCTCTGCCTGCTCCGCACATCGGCGTACTCTTAGCAGCCTGGTGTGCTGAGCCGCCATGGACTCCTACCATGTCCTTCTGGACTAAGGCTCAGGGAAGGAGCCAGCCAAGCCGGCACTGCAGCCCTAGTGCTCACCCTGGCGCCCAGCACAATGCCTGCAGCACAAAGGCACTCGATGAGCTCCGGAGTTCGGGGCCAGCTGAGAAAGGGCACGACCCAGTTCACTCACAGCAACTGGGAGGCTGTAACCACCGGCCTGAGCAACACCACAAGGCAACGATGCCTGGAGATCCTGGGGACTTTCAGCCAGTGCTGTATTCTGCTAGTCATGTCTGGGTAGGTCTGATCACGGCATGTAAGAGCTGCTCAAATCCTTAAACCAGGGAGCCTTCCCCATCCGCTCATTTTATTCCTGATTTTTTTCTTTGTAGTATTTATCTGAGAGGCCAAGAAACAGAGAGAGGGAGGGAAGAAAAGGAAGCGGAAAGAGAGAAGGGGCTCCCATCTACTGGTTCACTCCCCAAAAGCTCTCACGGCTGAGGCAGAGCAGATCCAGAAGCCAGAAACCCAATCCAGGCTCCCTTAGTGGGTGGCAGGAACTCAACTTCTTGACCTATCCCCTGCTGCCTTGCAGGGTATGTGTGTATCTGCAGGGAGTTAGAATTGGGCAGAGAGCTGGGACTCAAACCAGGCACTCTGATGTGCTATGTGGATGTCTTAACTGTTAGGCTAAATATTTGTCCCTTGGCTTTGATTTTTTTTTTAAAGAATTATTTATTTTATTTGACAGGCAGAGAGAGAAGGGGAGGCAGAGAGAGAAGTCTTCCATCTGCTGGTTCACTCCACAGTTGGCTGCAACGACCGGAGCTGCGCTGATCCAAAGTCCGGAGCCACGAGCTTCCTCCCGACCTCCCACACGGATGCAGAGGCCCAAGGACTTGGGCCATCTTCTACTGCTTTCCCAGGCCATAGCAGAGAGCTGCATTGGGAGTGGAGTAGCCAGGACTTGAACCACTGCCCACATGGATGCCAGAACCTAAGGTGGCAGCTTTATCCACTATGCCACAGTGCTGGCCCCGGCTTTGATTTTTAAATGTGGCAGTGCACAGATTCTAGAAACTCCTAAGGCAACATTAAAATGGAACTGACAAAACCAAAAACGGCCTTGCTGGAAATCAAGTGCCAAGACTGCCTTGCCTGCGGTTTCCAGCGCTCTCCATGGCTCCTCTAGGTACGACCCTACTGGGGCCCATGCTGCCGAACTGCTTTGCAGGTGGTTTTTAAACGTAAGAACATATTAATAAACGGAATTAATGACTAGGTGCCTGTACCTGCTCTGAAACGCCCATCTAATACTGCAGGTCTGGCCTGAAATCGGAGCTCTGCCTGCACATTACAATCCCTTGTGGAGCTTAAGCCACACGGAGTCCACCTGAGAGTGGAGGGAAGGGGCTGACACTGTCAACGCTAAGTCTCTCCAGGAGAACCTAACGTGCAGCCCAGCCTGAGAGGCTGGGCACTAGCTTACCGCAACTCACAGGCAGGACCAGCACTGACATGACCTGCGAGGTTTGCTAGAAATGCCAAATTCCTGGGCCCCACCCCATACTGACTTCATCAGAATCTTTATCTCAACAAGGCCCCCACGTGATTCATGGGCACTGGCACGTTTGGAAACCCTGCTCTAACTAAATCCAGTCCAGACTGTTCAGTCGTTGCAGTGGCTTCCCGTGGCCACCAGGGGGCTAAGGAAGCTGGGGTTAAGGACTAGGCTGCCTTTTCATTTTCCTGGAAAAAGGAAAGGTTCCGTCCAAACGGGGAAGGAAGTGGATCTCTCCAAGCAACAATTACTGGTTCCTCCTTAAAAACCTCTTTTAAGTAATTAATTACTTTCTGTATAAATAAAATGCAAAGAAATTTTACATAGTCACACCACCTTGTGTTTGCTCACATACACTATAAAGATATACAAGAGGGGCTGCCACTGTGGCACAGTGGGTTAAGCGTCTGCCTCCAACATAGGCATCCCATATAGGTGCTGGTTCTAGTCCCGCCTGCTCCATTTCCAATCCAGCTCTTTGCTATGGCCTGAGAAAACAGAAGATGGCCCAATTCCTTGGGCCCCTGCACCCACACGGAGACCCGGAAAAAGCTCCTGGCTTCGGATTGGCCATTTGGGGAGTGAAACAGCAGATGACAGACCTTTCTGTCTCTCTCTCTCTCCCTCTCTCTGGCTGTAACTTTCCCTCTCAAATAAATAAATAAAATCTTTTAAAAAAAATGAAAAAGAAACTAATGAAAACACTGCCAGCTCTGGGGGCTGGGTGGGCAGGTGTGCAAGAGACAGCAGTCTGAAACTTTTCACTTTAAGTCTGATTGTATTTACTGTTCTTTTTCTAAGCAAGGGAATGGATTGTGTCAAAAACTTAAACAAGAAGGAAAAACATCTCCTAACCATCCCAGCCTATTCTTAGGGGATGTGGGATGTGGAATAACAGATCCAAACTCACGGAGAGCAGGCAGCTCACAGAAACCACAGGAGCTGAGAATGGCCTTTGGGTTATAGCAAGGCTCCAGAGGAAGTGCTGGGCTAATTTCACCTCTGTCCAGAGACTCCATAAACTGACGACGACTGATTACATACTCAAATCCGCCCCCCCCCCCCCCCCAACTAACCCTAACTAAACTTCTGACAATACAAACTGAAGATTAAGTGGCCACGAAGAGTGCTGGATAAACAGGGACTCTTCCTGGGCAAAAGGGTCAGTGGCTGTCCAGCAGGACAGGACCTGGACCACTGTGCCAAGTTTCCCCGAGTGCCAGAAAAATGTCCCCCGACAGCGGCTCTCCCCTGTGTGTGACCCGCAGAACTCCCATGCTGTCTCGGGGCTGCAGACCTCTGCCGACAGCACTCCCATGGTGGGGAGCATTCCACAAGCCCCGGGCCTGGCTGGCGCTCCAGGCTCCCGTCTTCCTGGCCGATGTGCCAGATCATCACTGAGCAACACGTCTGCCACAGCTGTGTTGACTTTTCTGAAAACAAAGGTCATGTTCACGGGAAGGCATGGTATTCTCCTGCCCGGGAGCCAGTGATAAGGCAGTCAGCCCGCTGACGGAATGGAGGGAAGTCCGGCGGCAGTGGCCACCTCACGATCCTGCCTTTTTAAAAGTTCACAGCACACACAGGAAAACCCTTCCACACAGGTCACTTGGAACCGGAACCATCTTTGCCCAAACTGTTGGCCATGAGCCACTTACCAATGTAATGCAGAGAAACACACCGAGTACCCTTCTCCACTCTTAGGAGTGCTAAACCCATGCTTCCGTAGCTCAGCAGAGCTCTCCAGGTCCCACGGGGTAGTCGGAAGCAAGCAGCAACTCAGACGTCAGGTACCTGAGGGTGTTCTGATGTGGACAGCCACCCAGAAGCCCCAACAAACCTCTCCCCTGATTCTGTCTTGGGCAGAGACCAATATGCCCTCAGAAAGGGGAAGAACCACCTCTCATCCAGTGAAATACAGGAAGTAATGTGAATGAGAAACGCTGAATGACACTGCTCTGGACCCAGAAGTCAAAGTGAGCCAACCAGGGCACATCCTCTCAGGGATCCTGATGATGGTTCTTTGGATTGAACACTATTCAAGGCCTTAGGCCGGACACCTCTCATTTGCTTAGGAGACCAAGGCAGGGAGCCACACGGATGCACTGTGAGAGTCTATTCAAGGAGGCACTGGTCAATGATGCCCAAATAGAGGACTGGGGATTACTGGATGGTATCTTTTAGCAAAGCCCAGTGCTCATCAAAGTACATTTCACCCAGCACTACTTCCTCAAGATGCTCCCTCCAAAAAGTTCCCCAAGTCAAAAGAGACTGGAGAAGATCCACATTATGTATGACGCCCCCAGCTTTCAGAGTTACCAAGCACAGGGCCCATTGAGGGCTCTGAGAAGTCCTGGAGCAACAGAAATGACTTTACTTCAGGAAAAGGCTGCGCTAAATCCTGCTGGCCTGGAACCCTTCTTCTACAGCAAACCCTCCGTACGTGGCGAACACGAGCACCTGGAAACCCAGTCGGGACTTCATCTGCAGTTCAGAGGACAGGGTTCCTCTACTCGAATCCTTCAGCCACCGCCCACTGCCCTGCGACCCGACTTCGGTGTCACCCGGCTCCTGTGAGCCTCTCACACTCACCTTGCGCTAGGCTCTATTTATGGCGGTTTCCAGAGCAAGCTGCCGTACTCTCTGACTCAAGGCTTCCGCCAGTCTGATCCCTTCTGCTGGAAGCACCCGACCCCACTGTCAAGGTTGCTCTTTGTCCTCCACCCAGGAGGCTGTGTTCCGTGCCAACTCTGCAGAGCGCCTTGCCCTGGAGCCCTAGGCCTGCTGTTGTCCTGCCAGCTCTTTACATGGAAACAGACTGCAAGGTCCAAACCCTGACCATCCCACTAACTTGCTCATGGCCCTGTATCCCTGTTTCATTATCTGTAAAACAGGGTAATACTGTGGTCCTCTCACAGTAAATTAGGGAAATTACACATATTTACAAAGTGGCCTGCCATCACAGAAGCTCCCAGCAGATGCAAGAGACTGTTGGTGCTGGCACAGTCCACCTCACTGAGGCTGTAATCGCCTCACTGCTTCTGCTCACTGTTTTTTTGCCTCCCTCCAATCTCAAGTAGACTGTAAGTGACCTACGTGTGGGGCTCCGTAGGCCTTGAGCATCAGCACCCAGAGCAATACAGAGAACCTCAAAAAGCTTGTGGATGATCAATATCATGAAACCACTACGCTGGAGTTTCAAATTACTTCGCACCAAGGAAAGTTTACTGCTTGATTGATTTCCCACAGACTTTTACAATACCCTCACAGGCAGCTGCTGCTGGGCTGGGGGGCTATGAAGGGCCCAGCTCCGCTGAGAGAAGCACCCATCAGGCCCAGAGCACACAGAATGACACGCTCTTCCCCCGACACCAACACACACTCACTTCCACAGCTGCGCGTTCAGATGCTTCTCCACCATGAGGTTGAGGGCGCAGCGAAGCCGGTTCCACCTGGAGTCAAACACGTAATAACCTCTTCCAATCTGCCGGCTCCCAAATGTGCAAAACTGAAAGAGAGAACATAGCCGCACGTGCATGCGGACTCTGCCAATGGCCTGCACGCACGCATACCTGCCTGCCCACCTGGCGAGAGTTCTGTCTCCTTTAGGAATCAGGAAACACAGAGCTGACATTGAAGACTGGAGGCCTTGAAGCATGAGACTGACAATGCCCAGCCCTGAGTTTCATGGAGAAGGGAAAGGCATGAGACATCACTGGACTGATGTGTGCCGCCTCTGGGGCGCCCTGTGCTGAGCTGCTCTCACACGTGGACTGCACCCACAACGTGTGGGCATGCCAAGGTCCCTGGCACCCCTGCACTGTCCTGAAATGCTGCGTGGGGAGGATCAGCATGGGGGTGGATGCAGAACTTACAGATGCTGGCTGAGGATGATGACCTGAATAATGACAGTCCAGTTTTTCAACAGACTCTTCTTTGTCATCGCCTTCGCCCTCCTCACTGGATAACCGAGAAGCTGGCTCAGTGGCAGGCAGGGGAGGGTGTGGAGACTCATGGACTGTAGGAGGGTCAACGGGGGCACTCCCACCTTGCTGAGCAGGGCAGCCTGGAGGCCTTGATGGGTAGAAAGTGCAGCACAGATTAGAACACATACTTGACAATCAGCTGCCTGAAGCAGACAGAACAAGGGATTCACGACCACCCACGGGCGGCCGGCGTTCCACCACCAGCACCCAGGGACTACGGATGCTGACCTGGGTGGCCTGTGGCAAAGGAACTGATCTACAGAAGGGCACACTGGTACACAAAGCCGCTAGCTACACATAATGGAAACGCTAACGTGAAACTAGTCCTCCTTTCCACAGCCCCTTGGGTGGCGCGGCCATCTGCCTTCTCCCCATGGAAAGGGAAATACCTGTGGAAATTAAGACAATACTTTCTTTGGTACTCTTCAGATTTCCACTGGACTTTAGTCACAAGGCAGTAAGTTAATAGGCAACGTGCTCTTAGCTAATCTAAGAGGAGCAGAAGGTGACAGCACTATGGCACATGGCTAGTCGAGGGCCTGCTACTCAAGGTAGGAATATATTGCTCCTACTTCTGCAGTGGCCCTATGGTTTCAGATTTAAGCTTCCTTTTGCACAGATGAAAGAACTTCATTGCAGGGGCTAGCAATGTGGCATACCGGGTGAGGTAGCAGCCAGCATCCTATATGGGTGCTGGTTCGTGTCCCAGCTCCTTCACTTGCAAGCCTACCCCTTGCTAATGACCTGGGAAAGCAGCAGAGGATGGCCCGAGTCTCTGGGCCCCTCCACCCACATGGCAGACCTGCAAGAAGCTGCTAGTTCCGAGCTTTGACCTGGCCCAGCCTTGGCCATTACAGCCATCTGGGGAATGAACTGGTGGATGGAAGATCTCTTTCTAACTCTTTCAAATACATAAATCTTAAAAAGAAAAAAGAAGTCACTGAGAACACAGCCAAGGAAAGCACTGCTCAGGGATCTTAGGCTGGGGTCTGACCGCATTCGGGGGGCCTCGTCTGACGGCACCCCAGCACACCGCTAAGGAACACCTGGCTCATGATGATAGGCTCAAGCACACAGTTGGGTTTTCATGTGAGAAGTACTTCTACCTTTATGCAGCCACTTCAGGGAATGAACACGTGAGCATAAAATGTTAAGTAACAGCAACAAAAGGCTGGTACACACCTAAAGCAGCTGCCCTGGTTACCGATGGCTGAAGCTCCTCTCTTCTTTCCCTTCCCTCTGGAAACTGAGTACTAAGGTCTTTACTCTGACTTGGTTCCACCATCACTGTCTGAGGGATGTGTATGATACATTCTCATTAAGACACCGTGACCTACAGCTTACCGCATTACTTAAATGCTCAAGCTGAACTCCCATAAGAATGAATGACAAACACATTCACAAGTTTTTTAGCAAGGATTTAGCATTTTTAGCAAGGATTCTCTCTCATGCGCTTTCTGGGAAGCAAAGCTACTGAATGGGCAGCTACCACCAAAGCTGTAAGAAATGTTCCAACTGCCAACACGCACACAGGACCCGATTCTGGCTCTGCTCCACAGGGCTAAGAGACACCTGCTATCAAGCAAGTGTCGAGCGGATAAGTCTACCTTTATTCTGCTGCTGGCATTTATAACTGAGAAGAATCCTAGCTGAAACTTAGCGATGCGCTCAACCGTTTGTTCGGCTCATAGTTAAGCCTAAGATTTTTTTCAAAAGTGAGCCTAAAACATATTTCTCAAGAGCATGACCGTACTGGGGTTCCTAAGGCATCTGCAGGTCTGTTCTCTGAAGGTGCGGCTTACCTTGGAAGACTGGGGGTGTGAGGTTTAGGTTTACTAGCTACGAAAGGCTTTGATTCGGAAGGAATCACTCCGTGAGGGTTTTGGTGTGGCTCCTGTGACGTTCTAGGAGGGGCGGGATGCGGGTCCCTGAGAGGCTGCGGTGGTTGCAGAGAGTCCGGATGGCGAATCGATTCCTTTTCCCTGGTTTTGTTTTTGTGCTCGGCTAATAACACATCGAATCGTTTTCTTCTACCCTGGACAGCCCTCCGCTGGGTTAAGGAATGTGTCTACAGACCAAAACAAATACAGAAACTGAAGAATCGCAGCAGAAATTTTCATCTGTCATATATATCAGAACACCACTCCCAGTGAAAAAGCAACCTGCACCATTAGCATACCCAAAGGCTGCTCGGCATTGGATGAGCAAAAAGTCCCGCAGGCATGCTCCTTTCTCCTTAGCTAGACAAGAAGGATGATCAGATTCCAGCCTCTAAACGTGGCAGAATCTGGTGATGGCACCTCCATCAGAAGGAAGCAATGTGTCCACCTGGGATGTGACCAAGTGGCCAACGGCACACACAGGTGACAGGGACTCAAGTTTTGTGCCACAATAGCAATTTGTTTATTAGGGCTTTTCCGAACTGTCAACCATTTACCGCTTTGAATTCAAAAGCAGAAACAATTGTGTCATAAATTACATATCAGATACTGTTGTTTTGCTCACTGCTGGAGAGTAAAAATCAAACACCATTGCTTCTTTCTACTCCTACAAACATGCTATGGGAAGAGAGCAGTGCAGCTCCCTGGATTCTGGAGAGAGAGACTTCTCTGGGCAAGGCAGGCTGGAGAGCAGTGAGAGAACAGAGGCTGAGAACTCGGAGCCACATAAAGCCCAGCAAGTCCCCAAAAGCAGACACTCACTATGGAAATCAACAGAAGGGGAAAGGCAGCAAATGTTTTAATTTCTGAAAGAAGAAACAACTTCCCAAGAAAAGGAAATGTCAAATCATGGCAGCCAAAGTCTTAAGTGGGGGAATAAAAAAAAAAACCTGTGGTTGAAGCACATCTTCTAAGAAAACATCTATACTCAACATATTTGCTACTCACTGCCACTGAAATCAAGGGCTGCTCAAAGCCCAGTACTATTTCTAGCAGATTCTAAAGGGAAATGTACAAACTGGAGCTGCTCAGAGATGGACACATCTTGTTGGCAGACAAGACCAACCACTGGGAAGTGATCCTGCATGACAAGTTAATCTTACCATTCTATGCCGCTGATGGCAAACACACACTGATTTCTGGAGTGGGTGAGTTTATGCCACAGTGGCTCCAATCACATACCCACTAACAGAAGTGAATTCATCTACACACTTCCTTCTCCCTTTAGTGTTACACTGTATTAATCCATGCTGAAAGAACATATCAATACACTGTATTGATACAGTGTAACTCACGCTCCAACATATTATGCAAGTACACTGATCTACAAGTTTACATATCTTGTATGCTACAATTTGATAACAGAACCTACATCCTTAGTAAACATACTGCTGCAGCCTACATCCTCTCAAAATCTAAGCTACTGGGGCCGGTGCTATGCTGCAGCAGGTTAAAGCTCTGGCCTGCAGCGTCTGCATCCCATATACGGCAGTTCGAGTCCTGGCTGATCCACTTCCAATTCAGCTCTCTGCTAACGCGCCTGGCAAAGCAGCAGAAGATGGCTCAAGTCCTTGGACTCCTACACCCTCGTGGGAGACCCGAAGGAAGCTCCTGGCTTCGGATCGGCTCAGCTCCAGCCATTGCAGCCATTTGGGAAGTGAACCAGCAGATGGAAGACCTCTCTCTTTCTCTGTAACTCTTTCAAATAAAATAAATAAATCTTAAAACAACCAACCAACCAACCAACCTAAGCTGGCACAATCATGTTCAGCTTCTTCTCATGTTTCTACTAATATGTCTTTAATATGTAATATATCCACCAAAAAAACAAAACAAACAAAAAAAAACAAAACAAAAAACCACACAACTAAGTGAGCATAAGAACATTTGTTTAGTTCAGTGGTGTAGTAGTACCTCCAAGAATATTTGCCACTCAGATGCTTCAAACACAAAGTGCGTAAGAACAAGGGGAAAAAGGGTGGGCAGCCAGTCTAGTGGTTAAGATACCAGCTAGGATGCTCATGTCCCGCACTGCAACACTGGCGTTCCATATCCAGCTCTGGCTCCTGACTTCAGCTAGCTTCCTGCTAATGGACACTGGGAGGCAGCAGGGATGGCTCAAGTAACCACATTCTGGTCACTCATTTGGAAGACTCTGATTGAGTGCTCAGTTCCCAGTTTCAGCAGGCTCTAGTATCAGCTACTGTGGGCATTTAGCAAATGAAGCAAAGGGTGAGATCGATCTTTCTCTGCCTCTCAGAAAAAGGTGAGGTTATCATTAAAAAAAGCAAAGTGGCCCTTTAATCCATGCGGAAAGAATATATGATATCCCTGGTCCACCTGCCTGTCTCTCCAGACAGATGTATAAACCTCTCACCTCTGAATGTCCCCTGCTGTTGAATACAGGAAAACCTAGTGAATGAAGTAGGCAAAGACAATATTTTCCCAGCTTTGTCTGAAAAGCAAACAATTTCTAGTGAACTCTGACAAACATTCCAAACGGAAACCTGATGATGCTCCACCATCAAAACTCTGCAACTCTGTGGGGCTGCCCACAGCTCACAGGTTACAGATTGTGTGTGACTTAATCCATAGAGCCCCATACCTTCTTCTTCCTCTTCTTTTTTAATGATTCATTAATCTATTTGAAAGGCAGAGTTACAGAGAGGTAGAGGCAGAGGCAAAGAGACAAAGGTCTTCCACCCACTGGTTTACTCCCCAGATGGCCGGAGCTGCGCCGATCTGAAGCCAGGAGCCAGGACCTTCTTCTGGGTCTCCCACGTGAGGGCAGGGGCCCAAGGACTTGGGCCATCTTCTACTGCTTCTCCATGCCACAGCAGAGAGCTGGATCTGAAGTGGAGCAGCCAGGACTCAAACGGGCGCCCACAGGGGATGTTGGCACTGCAGCTGGCGGCTTTACCCACCGTGCCATGGTGCCGGTCCCTGCCCCACACCTTCTAAGGCCCTAGCTCATGGCTATTCAAATTCAGAGGCACTTATTCGGCCTATTCTAACTCTGAGAATATGTAGCTCATCTTGGTGTTTCCACAGCAAGGAACACTGCCCTGGCCAAACATCCTGAGTACAGGCTTTCACGACACAGGCCTCTCTGCTTTCTGTAACTCAGGAGTGGTAACCTAGTAATCTACTTAACCTATGAATAAGTTAACCTCCATCTCCTTGGTTAGACTGCACACTTATACAGACAGAAAACATGTCTTGATTTGTGAAGTTCTCTATCCTCTGGGAGCCTGTGCCCAGGCCCAGGCGACAAAAAGCCCTACCATGACTGAATGGACAAAGGCTACCAGAGTGACAAATCGCCCTGCAGGAACGGCACAGAAGACACTAGAAAGGCTGTCAGATGAGGAAGTGAAGAGGGGCCAGTGAGGGTGGTAAGCAGATCACAGACTATGAGCGAGGGGAGTGAAGAGCAGCAAATACCCACACAGTGAGTACAGACAGCACTCAAGAAGAGACCGAGGGGCTGGCACTGTGGTGTAGTCGGTTAAGCCTCCACCTGAGGCACCTATATCCCATATGGGCACTGGTTCACGTCCCTACTGTTCCTCTTCTGATCCAGCTTTCTACTGATGGCCTGGGAAAGCAGAAAGCAGCTCAAGTGCTTGGGCCTCTGCACCCACGTAGGAGATCCGAGGAAAGCTCCTGGCTCCTGGCTTCGGATTTGCCCAGCTTCGGCGGTTGTGGCCATTTGGGGAGTGAACCACTGGATGGAAGGTGTGTCTCTGTCTTTCCTACTCCCTGTCTCTAACTCTGCCTCTCAAATAAATAAATCTTTAAAAACAAAACGAACAAAACCACCCAGGAGACCTGGCAGACATGCAGGGTAGGGGCACTCAGGCACATTTAGTCCTACACATGGAGCTTAACAGTCAGGCCAAAGTGACAGCAAAGAACAGGAGAAGAACTGGCAGATAGGACGGAGTAAGTAAGTAAAGGCCTCCTGTGAAAGGGCGGGCCTGAACGTGCACTGCATTTTCTGCAAATTCAATGCTGCACCCATGACAAGCCAGGGTTAATTCAACAACAGGCTTAGTTCCACAGTACACACAGCAATAATACTCTTAAAACAAAACAAAAACAAAACAAAACATGAGGAGAAGCACCGTTTGAAAAGGAAGATGGGAAAGAAAAAATCAGTTCACTTAGCCAAGAATACTGCTCAGGCTCTTCGTACATTTTGGGTTGAAAAGCTTTTGGAAATCTCACTGACTAATGAAAATAAATGTGGGTATTCACACAATAGAATATTACTCAGACTTAAAAAAGAAGGAAACCGGTCTGACACTGTGGCCCAGCTTAACTGGTACCTGCAGGACCAGTATCCTATGTGAGCAATGCTTCATGTCCTAGACGTTCCACTTCCAATCTTGCCCCTCTGCTCATGTGCCAAGAATAGACAGACCACACACTTGGGTCTCTGGCACTCATGTGGGAAACCCTAATGAAGTTCCAGGTTTTTAGCTTCTGCCTGGCACAGCCCCAGCTGTTGAGGCTATTTGGAGAATGAACCAGAAGATGAAAGACCTCTTGCTCTCTCTTACTCTGTCTCACCCTCTCTGTAACTCTGCCTTTCAAATAAATAAATATATCTTTAGTTAAAAAAAAAAAAGGAACTTAGAAATTCCATTACAGCAATACAGATGAGTCTTGAGGACACAGTGCTGTTACGTAAGAACTAAGGCAGCCACAGAGGATAAACACTGCAAGATTCCACTTACACGAGGGGACTTCAAAAAGCTTGTGGAAATGCAGTAAGAGTAAAAAATATAAATTTTATTTCTCAACTTAAACATCATCAAATTTAAAAGACTTTTGTAAACAATGATCCCAGCCATTCAGTCCACTCTATAGAACTGAGAGACCTGGGAATTTAACCGTATCAATGTAGTCTTTTTTTACCCGACACAAGAAAAATGGATGCCTTTTGAAGATGTGCAAACAGAAAAGTCAGAAGGACCCAAATCAGGATTCGGAGGTGGATGCCAAGTGATTTGGCATCGAGCCTCTCACTGCACTGCCCTTCTGTGAGGAGAAGGGTGAGCAGCAGTAGCACCTTGCTGGAGAAGGACCCTCTGGGGTCTTTCCTGCTTAAATTTCCGAAGACTCCTCTAATAAGCAGAGGTTATCATTCTCTGGCCCTTCACAAAATCCAAAAGCACAGTGCCTGAGTAGCCCAAAAACCTGCTGCCATGACCTTTGCTCCTGACCAGTCTGCTTGCTTCGACGGCACTGCTTCCACCTTTGGTAGCCAGTGCTTCGACTGTGTTCTGTCTTTAGGATCGCACCAGCAAAGCCGTGCTCCATCTGCAGTTCTAATTCCTTGACAAAAGGCTTCAGGATCTTGATGCCATTTGTTGAAAATTCCCCCTGAAAGCTCTGCTCTTGTCTGAAGCTGCTCTGGGTGCAACGGCTCTGGCGTCTATTGAACAGAAAGCTGCTCAACTTTAACTTCTCACCAAGAACTGTGTAAGCTGCAGCCACTGAGATGTCCATGGTGTTGGCTACTGTTCTGCAGTGTTATAACCATCAGTCCTTTCCAACGCAGGCACAAACGAGATCTTTTCCCCCTCAAAAATCCATGTCAGTGATGTGCCACTGAGGGCTCCATCATCATCATCATCATCGCATCCCTTCTGAAAATAAACTACCCACTTATAAACTCATTTCTTTTGGGTGCTGTCTTCATAAATTTTTCCAAAGCATTAAGAATTTCACCTTCCTTCCACCCACCTTTCACCATAAATTGGATGTTGGTCCTTCAATTTTAGTAGAATTCATGTTACTCTGATAGCAGATTTTCAAACTGATGTCTTATCTTCCCTTAGTGCCTCAAACTAGATCCTGTTCAGACATGTTATAACAAGTTAATATGAGTTATTTTGGTAAAAAAAATTTCCCGAAATTTGTGCATATCTGGATAAAACGCATTTTCCATGACCTTGCTGAAGACCCCTCCAATGCGGGGTACGAAATAGTCAAATTCCCAGATTCAGTGAGTGGAATGGTGTTATGAACATGCAGATTCGGCCAAGTAAAAAGTTCCAGAGATCTGCTGTACAAGATCATGTCTAAAGTCAACAAGACTGTACTGTTCATCTGGAACCTTGTTAAGATGGCAGATACCATGATAACTCTTCTCCCCATCCTAACATACATTTTAAGAAAGCAATTAAGTAGGAAAGGAATGAAGGAAGGAGGGACACCCTGGCTCCAGCCTGTGTACAGGAAGATTTTATTTTACCTAGCACTTTCCCAAAAATCAGAAAATAAAGCTATTTCAAAATCACAGATTTTAAAAAAGTGATTCTTTAAGATTTAAAGAATTCAAAGATGATTTAAAAAGGGCATCTGAGTAAAGAAAGCAGAGCTAGTACAGTCCTGAGAGCCAGGTGGGCAGGCAGAGGGCAGAGAGTAGATGACAGCAAGCTGGGAATCACGGTACGGTGCAGGGCTAGGGCATGTCACCACAAACCCCAGTGGGGCCCACTGAAACTGCCACAGCCTTCTACACAGGTCAAAACAACAAAAACATACTTAATGTAAGCGTTCAATTAGTACGCTATAAAAAAACAAATCCAGCTTGACATGAGATGGGAATTTTTAACTGAGATCCAAGGCTGAGCTTGGGGTAGGGCTGACCAACAATATTAGACATCATGCAACCAAGGTCAGAGTATCTACATCTATGTACATTTTTTTTTCCCCTGGGAAGAAGGAACTTTTTTTGATTGAAATTACCTATCTAATTGCATTCCGGTCTAACTCCTTTCCCTCAAAGGTTAGGAAGACAAAATCTACACACTAAAATCAAATTAAACTAACAAATACTCAAAAACAAAAATATCCTACCTCTGAAGAGTCTAACGTTCCCCCAGTGGTTGCAGGGGGTGGGGTGGAACAAGGCCTGGATATATAATCTTTTATAACTTTTTAATTTAATAACTTTTATCCCCTCCCTTTCCAATTACACATATCAAACTAGTGATTCTAATACTTCTTGAGCCCCACTACAGGAAGTTTGGAGATATTCTTTAGAGGGGAGTGCTCACCTTTGCAGAGGTGCACTGAAGCCCTGAAGCCAGCCCACAACAACCCTTTTTACAGTCAACACACCACCTTCTCATTAGCATATTGACATTTTAAAGGAAATCAACAATGACTTCAGTTCAGAATGGAGAGTCATTTCGTTTCCTTAGCTTACAGGTACGAATATAGTCTGACTAGTATTTTCTCAAAAAACAACTCAAAGGCGTAGATTTTTAAGAACTGGTTCTTTTACAATTTAAGAACCACAAACCATGTATTTTAAGAATAGTCACATACATACGAAGACAAATTTTGGATCTATTTTACCTTGGTGCAAGAAAGTCCTACTGGCCTCTCATAATCAAATTGTTATGCAGAAGTATTAAAAGCCTTTGGAAATAACACAATGATCAGGAAAGAGCGCTCTGCGTCTGGTGCTCTCTCAGGATTCCAATAACACACTTCACTTTTTTGTCAATGTGAGGTTTTTTCATTAGAACTAACTGATTCCCGCATGGACATGAGCGACCCTCAGAGTGTCAGATACCTCTATGGGAAACACAGGCTATGGGAAACATGTCAGCAGAGTCAGCAGTGCTCTGCCTGTAAGAGGCCACCTACCTTGCACGTTAAAGACCGGGTACAGGGCTTCTTGGTGTCGAGATCAATGACCCCACAATGGATGTCAGGATCAAACTCTCTTTCTGCCAAAAGCACACAGACATTACATCTAAGTAAATAGATGAAATCTCAAGACAGACAAATTACTGCCTGACTAAAATCACCACAATGTCAATAAATACAAGCGATCTAGCATGTGAGCCCCGCCACGAAGCAGCAGCACTACTAGCACAGTGGGTGAGCCCTGCCTTCCGATGACAGCACAGGTACCGTCCTTAAGGCAGCACTGCTGTACTGCTACACTCAGGACCACATCACTAGGAAGCTGCTTTTACACTATGTACTCTCAAATGGGCCTTTTTTTTTTTTTTTTAAGTCACAGGGCTCTTTAAAACCAAGAATAATGGGGACAGATAATCATGCTATCTAAGGAATTTCTTCCTAAAGCTCAAGATAATCAAGTTTTTCTTTTCAAATTTTTATTTACTTATTTGAAAAGCAGGGAGAGGTGTCTCCCACCCATTGTTTCATTCTATAAATTCCTCCAACAGCTGGCACTGGACCAGGCCACCAAAGGCAGAAGCTAGGCACTCAATAATCTGGGTCTCTCATGTGCGAGGCATGGAAACAACTGCTTGAGCTGTCACCCATTACTTCCCAGGGAGTAGGTTAGCAGTGAGGTACAATTGGAGGCAGAGCTGGGACTCGAACCCAGGTATTCTGATACAGGATGTGAACATCCCAACAGGCATCTTAACTGCAGAGTCAAACACCCACCCCTAAAGTGAACTAGTCTTAAAAAGAAGACTTTTAAATTCCACACAGCAATAGTTCATTTGCTCCCCCGGAATGCACAATATCGAGAACACTATTAAGACAAATGTGGCATTACCCGATAATCTCTTATTTAAAAATTTCCGGTTATTGGAAGTATCTTCAGATTTCTTTTCCAGAGCAGGCGATGCAAGAAGCCCTTTGCCATTGAGAATCTGTCCAGGTGAAGGCAAGGTTGGCTTTGGTATTGAGGGGCAGTTAAGGCCAGGCTTGACTGAGGAACTCACAGTAGCAGGACAGGCTGGCCCCACTGCAGGTTTCAGTAGTGTGCCATCCATCTTCGGATGAATCTTTTCCACTTTCACAGAGGGTGTCATGCTGTCGGTAGAGGAAGCGAGAACACCAGCACCTGAGTGCCTGAGGCTCAGGGCAACAGCGACCAGAGCCTGGGTCTGCCTGAGCATTGCACAGGATCCACCTACCGGACAACACTTGACCAACTGTGTTAGCACTATCCAGAAAAACCAGCAAGGCTCACACTTAACTGATTTCTAAGCCTTTCTGTGACATCCATGCTCCAGGGGACCAAATTTACCCACCTTTTATCATTTCAGAAAAAATTTTACACATGGGCCTACAGGAGATTTGGAACTGACACCAACACAATTTCTCCAAGAAGCTAAGCAGAAGTTCTAAAAGGTATCAAAGACTATCTAAAGACCCTAGACACAGTGTCCTTTGAGAACTGTCATCTTTAAGAAGGAATTCATCAAAATGAAGAAAACTGCTGAGTGAGCAAAAACTTCCAAGTTATGTCACAAAGGCTCATCAGAACTTCAACAGGTCCTACACCTTATCTCCAAGAGGCTTTCTGTTTCAGTCAATGAGAGACCAATGTTTATTTAGTAGGATGACAGACTGAACAGGATGTGTCACTGAATGGTAATTCCCTAGTCCCTGAAAAAAAAAAAGTTTCTATGAGAAGAGCTTAGCAAATAGGTACCTGGTACCTACATGGTTGGTGAGTGCTGAATACCTGTGCCACCAACACAGAACTAGGTTTATCCTGCAATCTCACTGGTACTAACATTTTGCTTGATAAAACTGATGCTGATGCTAGGAAGCTAACAATAGCTGGCTTGGGTCCCCTCTTCCGAACCTCTAGCTACAAAAAAAGATTTAGATGGATGAGGTTTTATAAACTTGGTGCACTGGAGTGAGTGCTCCAACAGCTGTTAGCTGGCGAGTGAGTCAGGCGTTGCATGGGCATTTTCTTTGGCTTATGGACAGCTCCAGGAACGAAAGCCAAGCTTGGTGTACTACACTTCTTTGCTAGGAGCAGGGGCTGGGGGCTTAGCAACCAGGACAAACAGCTCCAAACAGCTGTACCTGGAATAGCCTGACTGCAGTAGAGACAACGCAAGTCGTCCTGGCCTCCCAGCTGCCAAGGTCCCTGAGCAGTAGCAGGTGTCGGACCCTGTCCTGAGATTAACCAGGTTATCAGACTTTGGGACTCAAAATGTGGCATAGCCTCCAAAGGGAGGCAAGTCCGGGGAACGGCCAACTGCCACCACACTGAGCGATGCCATGACGCGGCAAGTTGTGTTTCCATGAGAGAGCACGGCTGCTCCCTCACGTGACCTCAGGGAGCCTGCCAACATACAGACCTACTGTGGAAATTTGCCAAAGCCTTGCCTGTGGACTGTGAACTTTTCCATCTTCCCTCAACACTGCCTTGACACGAACCCAAGGCTGGGGGAGGAAGCAGTGCTTCCCTGTTTGCTTTGCTGGTTCCAGAAAACCTGACAGCAATGTCTGGCAATCGCCTCACCTTTTCTCACTATGCTCCCAACAGCAGCAGCAGGAGAGCCAGCATCCATTATTCTCTGTCTGCTACGGGCCAGACACTACATCAGGTGCTTGACATCCATTAACTCAAGCACTCCCAACAACCCTGCACCTCGCTGCTTTCCTTAGACTCCCAGAGCAACAGGACACTGCTCAAAGGCCAGCAGCTAGGAAATGACAGCAGTGGGATTTGAGTCCAGCACTAAATCTGGTTAAGTCTCTTCAGACAGAGCTTCTCCACACCATCAAGCTTTTTCTCCCCATTTGGAAAAGGGGACCGCAGCAGTACCTATTCCACAGGGGGTGCTGTGATCCTTAAGCAACACCACACACACAGAGAGCTTAGTGACAGTAACTGGCACACCACGAAGGGTGATTAAATAATAAGGCCTGTGGCCTTATTATTACTGCTATTACTGCTTGGAAAAGTCTCCAAAGATATGACAGGGATACAGCAAGAATCAACAACACACATCTGAATTCTTCGCCAGACAGGCCCTCTTTCCCATCACCCATAGACACTGCCAGATGCTGTTAGTGGACCCAGTTCCAGTTCCAGCAGGTAAGCTTTCAAGCCGTCTGGGCCATACTCACATTCTACCATGGGGGACTCTACTTTGCTGAATGGGATGCATTGGCCTGGTGTTCCCCCTGAGCTGCAGTTTCTCTTTGGGTGATTTCAACAACTTGGAACTTGATGAGGATGCACTAAGAACACCTCCACTGGAAGAAGAACGGTTGCTTCCACTTGCACTGCCTCCTTTATTTTTGGACAGAGAAGGGAAGAAAGAAAATACTGAAGTGGGAGGAACAGCCAAGGAAGGCTTATTGGATGAACTGTGTCTTCTTTCTGAAAAACAAAACAAAGGAAAAAAAGACCTGATTTTAGGCAAATCTCAAACAGAACTCTGAGAGAGTCCCCTGAAATCAACACATTTAGGTAAGAACATGTATCAGTGAGTGAACACATGTTAAACTCCTGTCTTCGTCAACGCCTTATCTAGGTTCCCCAGACCTACTAGGATTCCAGGAACTCAGCCTCCTGTTTCAGAGCATGTCAGCACAAAGCGGTTGATCACATACACCCAGTAGGAAATTAAACATCACTCTGAACATGAGGACATTGCCTTTTGGGTTTTGCATGCTAGAAACTAACCTCATTGGCTCCAACTGTGTTGAAAGAGAGGAAAAGTATCCATTCATTGCAGAGCTCTGTTCATTGACACTGCATAAAATCCGTCTTCCTTTCTAGCATAGCACTGCTCCGATTTTCAAAAGAGCAAAATCTTAAGAAACAAGTTGTACTTTCTTTTTTCCTTGCCTGCCACTACCCACCAGCGTGACACCAAATACAATGTTCAAGGGTTATCTTACCATTCGTTAAGAATCTGTGCTGAAATTTTCCAATGAATCATTTCACCACCCCCCTTTTTTTTTCCTAAATAATCTCACTTGACTACAGATGGCACAGCTCCGTTCACACCAGTAAGATGCCAAAGGCGCAAGACAAAAATACCACAAATAGCTATGCCTGTTTTCTACACCAGGAAGTAATTCATGGTTAAGTACAGACTACAAAGGTTTAAGTGAAAATAAACCTAAGGCACTGGATAATCAAGTTTTCTCAGAGTAAGGCAATACATTCTAATATAAACCAAGAACTGTCGAATAATGTTACCATCCAAAACAAGTATATTCTCTGGTAACTCTATCTACTTAATCACCTTACAGTAGAAGCTTTAGTGGCCACCTTCAGTTAAAAAATTTTGTGTAACTCTCCATTTTAAAATGCATGTGATCCTACAATGACCTATCACAACACAGGAGCCATGCAAGCATTTAAAAGATTAAACCCATTACAACCAATGACTTCAAGCGCCACTGAAATGGTACATTTCCAAATGTTTTACTATAGCAGTCCCAAGCCTCCTGGTAAAACTGTGATGATGTATTCCTAGAAAGAAACAGTTCAATGATATTTTGTGGGGGTACTTAAGAGCCTGTTCTGCTTCACAACAAAATTATTGTGCTATCCACAGACAAAAAACAAATTCCCGAACTCAACCACACAAAGGCTACCATCAAGGCAACAAGCTAAACTGATAGTGATTTATTAGTGCCTCTTGCTCTTTCATCCCCATAGGGAAGCTATGTTCAAGAAAAGGAAAACTAACGTATTTGGTTTAACAATGAACCTGACCTCACAGCTGAGGTTTTTTCCTTTTAGCTCATGCTTTTTCTCTTTTGTGATCCTCAAACACTCTGAACATACTTTCAAGTTCTAGCACTTGTAATCAGGATTGTGAATACCCATTCCTAGTCTTGCTGCCTGCTTTACACAGAGGAGCTTAGGTGAGTCCTATCTCAGGAGGAGGAGTAGATTCTCTCTCAACACTGCCTGAACGGTTCACTGATGCAGGAGAAAAGAACTGATTTTTAAGTGGCTCTGGACCAGTGGCTACATATTGGAAAACCCCAAGGAGCTTTAAAAACCACTTTCTGGGTACCCCAGAACCTGCGCATCCCAGCTTCTACCAGCTTTCCTGTGTAACCCTACCATTTAGACAAGGTTGAAAGCCAAGTCTACACCAGGTGGATGCCTCAAAAACCATCAACACATGCACAGGTGAGTAAGTTAACATCTTCAGGGCACCAAGACCACCGCTTGGCACAACAAAGTATGTACAAGTTCCTCAAAAACAGCTCATTGCTACTACGTTTCTCAAAGTAGCATTTTCCAATCTTCTACCAACTGCAAAGTACTTTATGGTTCTTAGCAAAGCCACAGAAAACACTACTTTTTTACTCAACATTGTAATTTACATTATTATCAATGCCACGGTCTCCTCTTCCTCCCCCTCTGTAGGCTAATGCTAACCAGTCTCTAGGATGTTTGTGTTATTCTGGGTAGAATGAGTTTTCATAAAGGATACCAGGATGGTTAGTTTTTCTGATAATCTACTGCTCAATCCCCTGTAGGATCCCTCTTCCTGAGACCACCTGAAGCCACCCGTGAAGTCCGCTTCAGGTAGGCTCCAAGAAGAAACAGAGTACTACCGCCGTTGAGTCCAGTTATCCAAAACAGTATTATCTATGAAGCAGTAAATCTGGCAGGTACCTTGTGTGTTTTTCTTGTTTACACTAAAGTAACTCAACACTAAAAACACTCATCCATGTTCATTCTCAAAAATCATTCAGTGTACATCCTGGGGCAATGCACTTAAGGAATTCTGGTTCAGTGTCCCCAATCCCAAAATCTGAAATGCTCCAGATCCAAAGCTTTCTGAGCACTGAGAAGATGCCACAAGTAGAAAATTCATTCCTGATCTCACACTACAGGTCTCAGTCAAAATGCAGGTGCATTAAAAACACTGTATGAAATTATTTTCAAGATAGTCATGTAGGAAACCTAGGTGAATTTCATGTTTAGATTTGGTCACATCTCCCAAGATACTTCACTATATAAACACAAATATTCCAAAATCTAAAAAAAAAAAAAAAAATTTGAACTCCAAAGTACCTCTGGTCCTAGGTTATGCAGGTAGGTGCTACTCAACCGTACTATAGGGCTAAAACAACAACTCTGGTAAGAAGCATACTGTTTTTACTCTCTGGGTGTAGCAGTTCTCAAGGAGGCATTTCAGAGCAACTATTTTCTCTTAGGATTAAATAAAATTCTCAATGTAATGAAATACAGTTTTTTATAATGGTAGTTTCGAGAATATAAATTATCGAACACCACCAATATACTAAGTGGCAACTGAGTATAACAAGATCTTGTCGCTGCTTTTTTGTGATTTTTGTCTGCAAGAAGTGCATGAAGAATGCAGAAAACTGTACCTGGCTGAAGGGAGCCACGTGGAAATACTCAAAATGCCTACTCCTCAAAATCCACCAACCACCTCACCTTGCGCATTAACAACCACAGCCACCCATATCAAGAGCTCTCTCTAACCAGGTTCAGGGCACCTCTGGCCACCACTTCATAATGATTCACCAACTACAATCCTTCCCACGCCCACGCACACAGGCAAATGCCAGGTCCTTTCAAGGTAAAATGCCATATTTACTCTAGCTTTTATGCATTTTAACCATTTAACCCACGTGAGACCACACTAACATTTTCATTAGGTTCTTATCTTTTTCTGTGTGTCACTGATGAAGGTTGTGAGTGCTGGGCCATACTTCCCCAAGGAGCCACATGTGCTTTATACTGAGTGCAGTAAATTTTTAGGAATGCATGCTGTATAATAGCAGAAATGACTAACTTTAAGCTTGGCCTTCTAACTTTGTATTCCTACCATGGTCCACTCTCACCTTGCTTTCTTTAGTTAACATCTGCTTCCCTGGCCTACTCACTTTCCGTAAGGAGGACAGCACTAAAGCATCAAATTTCAAAGCTTCCTCAGGATGCCAATCTATCAATTATACTGTAAAAAATTTGTACCTTCTGCTTCAAGGATAAAAGTTAAAATAAAGAGAAGGTCACTCTATCATGTGCATTTCTTTCATTCACGAAAACCTGCAAATGGACTATGCCACCTCAAATCCTTGTCAGTCTACTGAATTCAGCAGTTCCTCACATGCTGAACTGGTCAGCTACTCTACGCAAAAGGCAGCATCTGCCTTTCTCTTCACAAGAAGGTAAAGAAAACAGATTTAAGTACAGTTGAGCTGGACTCCCCTCAACCTTTCACTACGGGTACTTATTTTTTTTTTTTTATCTTTTAAAATATTTTATTTATTTGAAAGAGAAAGGCAGACAACAAGAAAGAACAACAGACAGTGTGAGCTCCCATCTAGTAGTAGTTCACTCTCCAAATGCCTGCAATGGCTGGGTCTGGGCCAGGCTGAAGTCAGGAGCCAGGAATGAAATCCAGGTCTCCAACATGGGTGGCAGGAACTGAACTACTTGAGCCATCACTGCTGCCTTCCAAGGTCTCCATCAGCAGAAAGCTGGCATCAGGAGCCAGAGTCGGCCACTGAACCCAAGTACTTCAATGTGGGATGGCAGGCTAAAATGACTACCCCCTAGAGCTTATTTTTCATCTTAAAAAAGAGTGCTTGTTTCTAGATCAAAAGAGAAATGGGCAAATTATGAGTAGTAGAGTTACAGACCCTACATTAAGTGGATGAAGTAGTGGCCAGATGCTAAGTGCTACTGCAGTGTGGTCTGCTATGGAGTCTAAGCTGAGTTTTCAGTGATCACCTCTCTAGGACACAGCTCCAAGTCAGAGAAACACACTGCTGCCTTTCCAACTAGGGAAACACAGGCAGGGTGACCAACATTCAGACAACAAATTACAAAGACAGACCAGACAGAAAGGCAATCAAGTATGTAGTATATAGTGTGTGTGTATGTGTTTGTGTGTGTGGTGGGAGCATGGGATAAAAGACACGGGTCGGGAGATAGAGAAAAGGAAGAAAGTGGGGGGCCGGTGCTGTGGCGCAATGAGTGTTTAACACCCGGGCCTGAAGCACCGGCATCCCATATGGGCGCCAGTTCGAGACCTGGCTGCTCTACTTCTGGTCCAGCTCTCTGCTATGGCCTGGGAAAGCAGAAGATGGCCCAAATCCTTGGGCCCCTGCACCTGCACGGGGGACCCAGAGGAAGCTCCTGGCTCCTGGCTCCGGATTGGCACAGCTCCGGCCGTTGCGGCCAACTGGGGAGTGAACCATTGGATGGAGGACCTCTCTCTCTCTCTCTCTCTCTCTGCCTCTCCTCTCTCTGTGTAACTCTTTCAAATAAATAAATAAATCTTTAAAAAAAAAAAAGAGGCAGAAAGTAGGAGAGTGAGAGATGAAGACACACACACAGACATGCAGACACACACTGGGTTCTCTTTCCCC